CCACCACCTATTCAACACCCACTAGCATATCATTTTTATACATATCTCTATACTTTTACACCCTATTTACTGTTATATAAATACATAGAGAGAGAGAGAGAGAGAGACACACACACACACATATATACACACACACACACACACACACACACACACACACACACACACACACACACACACACACACACACACACACCACACCTCTCTTCTCCCTCCGCTCACATACCTGCCCATTTTGTTTGTAGACGGCTGTTGCGCGAGCTTAGCGTGCAGCAGCGGAAGAAAGAGATTGAGGAGGAGCTCTTGGTCTTGCAGGCCATGGAAGAGAAGATCAGGGACACCCTCGATGGGCTGGAGGTACAGCGAACTTGCAAACTCTGCAGGTGCATGTACAAGCGTTTTGCGTGTGCGCTTGGTGTGCTTGCTCGTCGTTTTTCCTTCCTCGTGGTGTGAACCAAACAGTCACTAGAGCCACACACACACACACACACACACACACACACACACACACAATATCCACTGCCATTCCCCTTTCAACCGCGACTATCACATCCGTTAGCTGGAAGAGGTTGCGCTTCGAGCTATGATATCTACGCCAGAGGAGGACGAGGACATGACCGACTACTCGTCAGACACTTGAGCGCTGCACACGCATTTCAAAGATGACACAAAAACTGCAGTATCCACAGCAGCAACAACAACAGCAACAGCAGGTACGACAGACCCCACAACATAAGGAAGCAGTCTTGGGTGACACGAAAACGATGCAGCGGTGCACGAGGGCGTCGCAAGCGCGAGGGGAAGTCCTCCATGCGAACAAACGCGCGACAACGAAAAAGACACAGCCAAGGAACAACTACATCGACAGACACAAAAGGCGCGGCAATACAGTAACACATTGACACGGGTGCCGCCTTGCTTGCACGGTTCTGGACTGATGAGAGCTGAGCAGCTTGCTTCCGCCACGTTTGGTTTTGGTTTCACTTTGGTAAGCTTGACCTGGCGGCCTTTGCGTTGAAATTGGCCTTGAACACCTTCGCCTCGGAGTGCTGGCTCACAATCTCCTTCACATGCGTCACGGGGAACCTGCAACAGCACAGAGAGTGAGTGAGTGAGAGAGGTTCATGTGTGTGTGTTCGTGTGTGTTCGTGTGTGTTTGTGTTGATATGCGTGATTGCCGTGAATTGGTGTCCTACCGCGGATTACACAGCACGACCGCAACTGCAAGCAAGCGTCTTTCCCCAAACGCGATGAGAACGAGAGACAGAGACGAAGACGAAGAGAGTACAGACACACACACACACACACGCACGCACCATCCACGTGTCTGGCGGTTTGTCTGGGTGACGGTGCTGACGATTGCGCCCTTTGAGAATCCGTCCTGGTTGCGCACGATGATGTTGAGCACATCGCCAACACGAAGCGTCAGCTCGTCCTTCTGTTGAAGGGGCGCGCGGGGAAGGGGTGGGGGTGGTGGTGGTGGTGGTGAGTGAGTGAGCGAACGGGGCACACACACACACACACACACACACACACACACACACACACACACACACCTGACGCGGGCGCAAACACGTAAATACACACACACTTCCACAAACGCACATTAACCAACACACACACACACACTTCCGCACCTGCTTTGCGTCGTAATCTCTGATGACACGCGCACGTGGGCAGTTCCACTCTGCATATTCGTTTGATTCCTTTGGCGGATTGAGCACTTCGAGCCACCGTTGTCTGCATTGTAAACAACGCAACATCATGGTTGTCGTTGTCGTGAGCTGAAGACGTCACATCACGAAACAGCCATCGTCATGTGCATCCACACACGCTCACCCCGCCCGCCCGCGTGTGCATTGCTACACAGCGGCGCCAGGCAACATCGCGCAGCAGCACCACGCAGGACTGCAGCCTCCCCACCTGTCTGTTGGTGACGGCGCCTTTGCAAGGAGGGTGAGCGGCTGCTGCCCGTAGAGCACCAGCACAAACATGCACTCCTTGTCTGAGGACGACAGCGTGACAACACCGGGGAAGAGGTCCCCGCACTCCTCCGCAGGCTTCGCGTCAACCAGACTCCGATGCACCTGAATGTGTGCGCGCGCGCGCGCGTGTGTGTGTGTGTGTGTGTGTGTGTGTGTGTGTGTGTGTGTGTGTGTGTGTGTGTGTGTGTGTGTGTGTGTGTGTGTGTGTATGTGTATGTGTGTGTATGATCATTGGCTTCGTTTGTTTTGTTATTTGTTGCTCCTCCAATCGCAGCCCGTTATCAGAACACATCAATGACCGACATGCAACCCCGCTCCCGCCCTCATCACGCACACACATGTGCATCTGCGCAACGCACCTGTTTGTACACGATGTAGGTCACCTTCTTCTTCGCCCGCACGGGCTTTGCGTACATGAGCAAGTCCGTGAACAGAAAGCATTCGACAGACTTGCTCTTGGCAATCTTCCCTTTTTGCAACCGAAGGAACTTCACTGTGCCGCGACGCAGCAGCGCTCGGTTCCTGTGATTGTGTGTGTAATTGTGTGTGTGTGTGTGTGTGTTTTAAACGCTTGTCATTATCGCACCCACTGACACTAAAGCGCAACCACATGGCCTCCGTCACACCACACCACACCACACCACACCAAACACACCACACCAAACACACACACACACCACACCACACCAAACACACACACACCACACCACACCAAACACACACACACACCCACACACACACCCACACACACACACACACACACACCACCCCCTCCCCCCCACACACACACA